CAGGTTTCAGCATTCGCGGGGCAGGGCGGGTTACAGTGTTCGCGGGGGCGGGCTGGGGCGCAGGACAATATTTTAATTTTTTTTGAACTAAAAACCAAAAAGGCTAAAATGCCACCAGCCACACTAATTTCTCAGATTGCAGAAGTGTAATTTGTATGAAAGACAAAAAAATTTGAAAGAAAAGGCTGGCCGTGTTGAATAGACGATAGTTATAAACTTCATAAATAAATATTTGTGAGTGTTGTATAAGTGTGAAAGACTAACTTTTTAGATTAAAAGAGAAAAACTATTTCATATATATGTCGGGCGGGTTTGCATGGGGCGGTTTAAAAACAGCAAATTATACTTTGGGGGACAGGGCATGTTGAAACTTTAGGTGTTTGCCCCGCAACCACATCGCCCTGCACCCTAATCACAAAAATGAAATCAAACTTATATATCAAAGTAATGAAACACTGAACTTACCCTCCAGGTATTTCCGTCTTTTTTCTCAACACGAGATTCGTTCACTCTATATTCGTGCATAATCCAGTTGGTCTTTTTACCTTTCTGAGGTTCACCTTGGTAGTAAACCAAGGCTTTCCTGAACCCAACTATTGCACCATTGTGGTTTATAGGTTTGTCAGCTCCAGTAGCCTTCCAGTAGCCTGTTCCAGCAGCTCGGTTTGGCCTTGTTCCATTTTTATATTTTTTATCCCTTGGAGTGAAAAAATACCATTCCTTTTCTCCAACCACAGGATAGGTCTCTATTTGCAGTTTAAAAAAAAGTATTATTATTAATGAATCAAGAAACTAAACATGTTTTCATTGATGTAACCTTCAATAATTAAGAAAATTCTCAAATCCCTTAGAGTGTTTCACCAATCAAGAATAGATTTCTATTTGCATTCTTAGTAAAGTAAAAGGGAAATAGCAGAAATATTAATGAATCAAGCAAAATGTCTTTATTGGTGTTAGTAACCTTAAATAGTTCAGTAAATTTTTAAGTCAAAGATGAATTAATGAAGATAATCAGAGGCATATCCCATGTAGAAGCTATGAGTTTTAACGGTAAAAATTTACTCGCACCGGGTATTTACACCAAATCAATAGATACATGACATATATATGTCTTGCATATGAACTTCAATCATTTAACCACGGTAAATTATATACATTCTCATCTAATTAAATTAATTAATCATAGCGAGTTAATATAGTTTGGTGTAAACACCCGGTGTGGGTAAGTATTCGCCAGTTTGAACTCATAGCTTTTGCTCATACCTTGTATTTTTGTCCAAAAAATTAGTTTAATATATACAAAAAATAAATTTTGAACCTACTAAATTAGATGAGATATGGTAAAATTGCGAATCTAAACCCATAAAGTTCAAATCTTGAATCCGCCTCATAATTACTTAAGGTTTTCAGCTGCTACAGTGTCTATTAACCTAAAAATTGATTTGAAATGGATATATGAAAACCTAAAATACTTATCTTTGTTCAATATTCTTTTTCCTTTATTGGGGTTTTCTCTTCTATTTTTTTTTTTTTTCACGAATAGCAATTTCTAGTGACATAAAAGAGCAGGAAAACAAGAACAAACCCTAACAATGAATCAATATTGTATATACAAACTACAGAAGAAATTCGTTATGAAGAAATTACACTTTTGATAAATAGATTCAGAATTTAATATCTATTAAAATTTTATTGATTTTTAAGATATATTTCTACGTTTCATGTCTGAAATATTAGATTCAGTTGAAACCATTAACGATAAACACTATCAGCCTTTCGTAAAAAGCGAGAATAAAAACCTGAAAGCTGTTGAGGACTGTGCATGCAAAGGTTAACTTCCTTGATTTCATTAGAAGGCAAAGGTTCATTCATGACTTTCTTCTTGAGATAATGAACGATGAGCTCATCGTCGCGGGGACAAAAGCGATAGCCCGGTGGAAAAGCCAAAGAATCATAGTCGTCTACCTGCAAAACACGTACACAGAAACTAGTATTACACGACGAACAAATATATGCATGATTTTATTATATTGTCAAGAACTTTTTTATTGTTCTTGCTCTTGTTTTTTCAATATTAGGGTTTTGATCAATCCTAGAATTAACATGCCTTGAAATTCGCCTGAATTTGCCTATCAGACTCCATTGTTTTGCTTGAGAAGGACACTCGGAAAGAGTCCAACTTGAAATATATGATCAGGTTTTGTTTCAACAAATTGATTATATAAAGATTTGGGGTAATCTTATTTAAAATTTAATCCTATCATATCTAAAGTACTTGATATGAAATCATTATTTTAAACGGCGAGGTTAATGGTAAATTTGGTTTTAACTATGTAAAAATGAATTTTAATGGTTAAATAATTACAAAAAGGAGTTTTGAACGAGAAATAATATTTTTTTCACTTGTGATACGTCTTAATAAAGTACGAAGATTTCATGTGATATGCTTAAAACTTTTTCTTTTAGAGTAGACTAAAAAAAGGATAAATGGAAACAATTATTTATGAAAAATGAGAATTACAATATTATGCATAAATAAATATTTGTTATAGATAAATGGATAAAAAAATATATTGATCTTATACTAGTGTCTTTTTCAGGTGGCTAATAGTGGATTTTTCGTAGTACTTGTACATGTGTTTTATTTTTATTTTTCGTATGCATGGACAAACTTAACGCCTATGTAATTTGGGTGGGAGGACATATTTTTTTAAAGGGAAATACATAAGTACCACATGAACTAAATAGTCGGATTTTCAGCTACGCACTTTATCTTCGCGGGGGTCCTATTTTCCCCTGAATAATTTTAAAGTAAAATTATTTACCCCTTAAAAAGCTACAATCAGATACGTGCAAAGTGGTGAAATACACGCGCCTGAATCATGCATTTCTTACTTAAAAAAAAATTCACCTTTTTTTTCCTTCTTTTTTTTTTTCCTCTTTCCTAATTTCTCAATCATTTTCATTTCAATTATCAGAACTTATTAAACGCTAGCAGTCCCTCTCGATCTCTGTTTTTATCACAACTTGTCGCATACGAAATTTTTATTCTCCGGTGAACTGAGTTTTTAATGAGTTTTATATAATACTTGTTTGATATTGTCAGATCTGGCCGGAGAATGAAATTCCACGAAGACCCTTGCTCCAACAAAACTCCATTGTTGTTGACCATTTTTGACTGTTCGTAGGTTCTTCATTGAATCATGCTCGTTGCTCCCTCTAGCTGTAACTCTTTTTCTATTATTAAACATATCTGCTTTTGATTTCTGGGTTGATTTTGCGTTGTATTGGATTTTTGCTCCGGCATTTCGCCGTTGAAACGATGTCCCCCTTGTGCGTGCGAGAAGAGGTTTAGAAGACGAAGGAGACTAATTAATTAGTTGTAATTAATTGTGTAATGTCCAATCAAAAGATGACACTTGTACCTATTAATCAATTTTAAAATTATTTTTGTAACTTTCACTTGCCCTTAAAAGAGTATACACACTCTCTATGCAACGTCAGCACTTAGGGGTGGTGTTTATTACTAGTTAAAATAGTTCGGGGGGGGGGGGGGGGGGGGGGTATAATAAGACCCCGCGAAAATAAAGTGTGTAATGAAAAATCCGACTTAGTTCATGGGGTACTTATGCATTTTCCCTTTTTTTAAATCCTAGAGTTATTGGTATAATATCTAAAGAGCAGAAAAAAATTATATAAGAAAATGCTGAAGAGTAATGGCACTTTAGATGAAAATTTACTAGTTACTTACTATTGATTTAAAATTCCATTCGCCTAATTGTATGTAAATCCATAGATGCTTATTCCATTTATTTTTTCTTTTGGTTCTCCACTTGGTATTTGGTTTTTAGGATTTTTCTTATAAAGAGCTCGAATTTGAGACGTCTGGTTAAGGATGAAGGGATCTTATCTAGTGGCGAAGCTAGGAATTTCCTCAAAGGTATTCAAATTTGAAAGAAGTGAAAAGAAAATTCCGACAAAAGGTGTTCAATATGTGTTGTATATCTCTAAAACATAATATTTTACCTATATATACAATATTGTGTAATTTTTCAACGAAGAATAGTCAACTCACCACCCTTATGACCATGTGGCTTCGCCACTGATCTTATCCATCTAATTATAATCCTCAGTAGTTATTGCTGCACTTAATATGGTACAATAATTTTGGTTACCAATGATGTATGAAGTGATTCATAATTTCATATCATATATAACTTACTAATTAGTTTGTGACTGAAGTAGCTACTTAATTTATTGATAGAAAGATTTTCTTCTGTAGGTAGAAAAAAGAGTTAATTCCTTTCGTATGAGGCTTGTAATATAGCAAGAAAAATGATTTCTTTTTATTGGTCTTTCCTATAGAAAGGATAAGTTCTTACATTATTTCATTTTATATGACACAATTTTATAAACCTGGTGTCAAGTAATTTAGGGGCGGATGTAAGTGAAATTGTGTACGCTTTTGTTCTAGCCTTTATATATATATTAGTCTTAAGATACGCGCGTTTGCACGTTTACCCATCTTAAAAAGAATATTTTATTGGAAATTAGCTTGAGTTATAAAATAAAAATTAAGAAAAATTATAAGTTCCTATGAATACAACAAATTTATATACTTTGTAAATTTTTATGCTTTATAGCTAGGAATTCATATACTATAAGTTTTCAAAGGACTAGCACGAGGTACGATAGAGCACGCATGCATAAAGATATCTTTAAACTCCAGTGTCAAAGAAACTTCTAGCTTTTATCTTTGAAATATTATAGTTCAATTTTTTTGAAGAATTTAATTCAATAAAAGTTTAATAAAAATGATCAAAAATATTATTATCACAGATTTTAAAAAGTTAGTTTATATGGTTAATATTCAAAAGCAAATAAGGAAAATAAAGTACTCATTTTATTTAAATAAAAGAAAATATTAATTTTGTTGAAATGAAAGAAAATACTTTTTCTACATCATAAAAAGAAAATACTCATTTTGTTGTAATGAAAGAAAATACTTTTTCTACATCATGAAAAGAAAATACTCATTTTGTTGTAATGAAAGAAAATACTTTTTCTACATCATGAAAAGAAAATACTCATTTTGTTGAAAACAAAGAAAATACTTCTTACCACATCATTTTGTTGAAATGAAAATAATACTTTTTCTACATCACGAAAAGAAAGTACTATTTTTGTAAAATAAAAAAATTACTTTTTTATATCATATGAAAAGAAAATACTCATTCATTGAAATGAAAAAAAATTCTATCTATAACATGAAAAGAAAGTACTATTAATAATATTCGTATTTAGGCAGGAGGGTGGGGTAGGGGGTGGGGTGGGGTGAGTAGGTGGGG